CCAACTGAGTTGTTTGGGCCCACGCACCATCCAAGCCAAATATGTTCCCTGTCGCCGAGTGTGAGCCTCACACCCGATCCAAAGTGTCGCCAGTTGTCGACCTTCGCGGCGTTGAGTCACGGCTCACACTTTTGGCCATAACCGACAACTCGACTGGTAAATCGATGGTGAAATTGGAGGAGAGGCTGCCAGAGCTCAGATATCCGGGAAAACGCATATAAGTGGAATTATCCATATGTTTTGGGCTTAAGCAATTTATATTGAAGTAGCTTGCAAAAACAATTGATGATATAATCAGTTAGGAATTTATATTGAAATCTGAATAAATCTTTATTGTTTATAATGATTTAATTTATCGAAAATACTATAAGGTCAAATGATTGTATATTTTCTATATTTCATTAACACATTACTTATAATGTGATTAGAACTTTATTCAGAAGCCATAACTTAATATAATTACCAGGCTTCTTCCTGAAAATTCTCGTCACCTTGGAGCCATAAAAATGTCCACACTTGCTCACTAATAATAATGGTTCCGGAGACGAATCAAATACCGATAGATCCGCCCCTTTATAGCGGACGGGAACAGACTGTCAAGGCAAATTATCGGGGGCTACTGTTGGCCATAACATATCATTTGCATTTGCCGGGCAGCAGGCAGCAGAGATCAGAGATCCCAGCCTGCGGAGACCCCTTGCCAATTCGATTAGGCCGGGCAAATGTAATTTAATAATTGCGGTTGCCCACGTTGATTAGCATGTGCGGTTTTCGCAATTTACTACCGATGGACGTAGCTAGCCACAGGATATGAGCTGGCACTATGACAATGACAGGATGCATCAATGTGCGGCGCGAAGTCACCTCTTTTCCTCTTTTTCTCCAGTGGCGACGGGGAAATGTTTATGGCTCTGTGCTCGCCTGTGGTGGCAACTTCAAATGCCACACGGTAATTGAATTTTAAACCGCGCTGCTCTCCTGCCCAGATTAATTTAAATGAAGTTATTAGCCAGCCCGATAGCCCAGTGACAGGGAGCACTAACAAAAGACCCCCGGCTCCCGGCTTCAGGCTTTGGGACAACTGGCTCCCACTCCTGGCGGCTTTTTAGTGCCCTGATATGGGGATATGGATATGGTGTGTGTTGTTTGCACTGGTAACGGGTTTTCCTGCTCTTAACTGCTCTTGCGGGCTGCATTTGAAAGTTAAATTACGGTAGCGATATCGGAGCAGACATTCCGTTAATTGGCCGCACAACTTGAGATCAGGCCTCAGATGGCCAACTAGATGATGCCGCCGTTCTGAATACTCTTTTTTGCCTATGAAGTAGAAGAATTTGCTGGAAGTTCGAGATGTTTATTTGGGCTTAAACATTAAGAGGGCTTAAATTTGAGTCTTCCCATTTTTGTTTGTAAATTATAATAAGAGCTGCATAAAGTTTTAACTGATTTGCCCGCCTTAAATATTAAATATAAATTTCAGCGGATAGCAGTTGTTTAAGTGTTAGATCATCAGTTTGTTTTAAAACTTTATGCTCGTTTAGTAAACAAATTATATATTTTTCCTTATAGCTGTTGATTTATTGTTAAGATATAGCTTTACCTTCAGCTTTACCAGATTTTATAAACCATGAAGCCAGCCATTCCAACCCATTTCTTGCTTTATTTGGTTAGTGTAATAAAACTTCGTTGCGCCCCAGCAACCTCGCCTTCTTGATGCCTGTTTTCCTTTGTGTCTCTGCTTTTTTGGTTTTTTTTTTTGGCTAAGTCCGCTTTACAGTTGCTGCAAAAATTGTTGCAAATTGCAGTTTAAAAAGTTTCCGTGTTGGTTTTTTTTCGCGTCGCCGTCGCCGGCGTTGGCTGCAGCTAATATGAGTCATAAATTTAAAGGCTTAACTCGAGGCTGCGACTGCGGCGAACTGCAAGCTGGAGCGGTGCCGTTGACAGGGATTTTTAAATGAAATAAATAAACGGCATTACAGCTAGTTATATGCAGCGATCAGGGTCTCGAGCGGCATAAACCCAGAAACTCAGAAACCGACGACAAAAAGGCAACTGCGGCGAGTGTTGGCGTGGAAGCTGAAAGTTGAACCGAATGTGAACTTAACTGGGCTGGGCCGCCAAGTCGTCCGGCTACTTTTGCATTTGCAGCACGGTCTCCATTCTGCACGAGACGAAGCCATTTTATTGATACAGATACTTGTACAGCCGAAATTTGGGTCCGCCAAAAAACAAAAAAACAGCAAAAAACTAAAGTCTGGTCGGGTTTTTTTTGGCAATCCGCAGCATGACATCATTTTGAGTTACTGCGAATCGGAGTTCGAACCGCTCTTTCAGCTGCAGCAGCCCTGCAGCCACAAAAAAACACAGAAACTGGTCGCTGTTTTACTTTCGCTTTATTTCTCGAAGTATTTCTTATTTCCCTTCGTGTTTTCGGTGTTTTTTTTCGGTTTCTTATTCAGCAGAGATGCTTCAATTTTTGGTTTTTTGGGTCATCCCGAAGAAGTGCGCGCGTATATGGCAATGAAAACGAAACCGAGTTCTGGTGAAAGTGGGCTGCCCATCCACGGAATGGAAATCGAAAACGCATAACAAGTGCAGCATGGCTTTTGGAGATCCGTGGACCACATGGTCGGGCCAAGGCGGATCGATTGTGTCATGGAGCGTGGGTCGATCGCCCACGAGAGGCCTCCAATGAGCACACAAAAAAGCCTCCAAACTAATAATCTTAGACGGCCAAGACGGCACAGGTTGGCACTGACGCACACAGACTGCTCCGTTACTCGGTTTCGTCTTCATTTGTATACTCGTATATATGGTGCCCACACAATATGGCTCTTTTTGGTTTATTCGCGGCAGTCAGAAGAGATCAATGCAAAAAGTTTCGCGAGCGCGAAATTAATTAGAATTTTGTGGCTTTGAAGCTTCGAAGCTGCGCCGTTGGTGGCTGGGAAAAGACCTTGAGCGGCGGTTCAACAGACTGTGTGGGGTGCTGCAAACTAGTCGAGTTAACAACTGAGTCACAGTCTTCGGCTCCAAAAGAGCATCCGAATCGAGACTGGTCTTCGCCATTTGGCCACAATAAATCGAAATCTGTCTGCAGGCTGATGGCACTGAAGACGCACAACATGACTTACGAATTACCCGAAAATCTATGGAATCAATCTCCGGGTTTCGCCGACGAAAGTGGCTAAAAGTCTTTCCCACGAGTTTCTCCAGTCATTAGGCAATAATAAAACCTGGCTTTTATTTGCATTCAATAATGGTTTCATTTCCTAACGTCAAGTTTGTGTCTGCAGTCTTTTGTTTTCGCAATGCAATTTATCACTGACAGCTTTTAGAAATAATCGTTTGCCGATTTCATTAACGACTCAAACAAGTTTGGTTTCCGAATCGATGATTTGGCTGCTAGAATTTGCATACATAATTTAGTTAGTGCAAAGCATTAAAGTAATTTTGGTTTGGCTCATAAAAACATGAAGTTCGTGTCTTAAGTCTTTTGTTTTGGCTCATGGATTTTGCAAAATGAAAGATGGTAGAAATTTCTCTTGTGCAAAATGTGAAAGATATGTCGCCTTATATCTTACGCCAATTATCTTGGCAGAAGAATCGCAAAGCAAAGCATTCACTTTTTCACTGGGTCCCTTAACTCATTTATTTGCGGCAATTTCTTTCGCCCACGCAGGCTGAGTCAAGCGCTTTGGCTCATAATTTATAGTCATTATTATTGTAATTTCTCCCGGCAGACAAACGCAGCAGCTCGCACGCAAAACAATAATACATAAAGTGAAAGTTTTGCACCTTTTGCCGCGCAGACAACAAACAGCGAGTGGCAAACGCATCAGCATAAACAGCCGAAGAAAAGCAGAAATAGTCAGTCAGTTGGTCGGTGAGATGGGATAAGATGAGCCACGAACTGTTGGGGGAAAAAACATCTCACAACAAAGTACCACAGCCCACGACCAACCACCAAAGCCAAAGACAATGGCTTACAAATGACTGGCAGCTGGTTAAAACCGAAACTGGCTGACAAATGAGACGGCGCCGGTAGCTTCACTTGTGTTTTGCATTTGACCAAAAAGATACACCTACACCAATAAGCCAAAAGCTACACAAATATCTTCGAAATCCCCCAGCAAATCTCCCAAAAGTCAAACAATCGCAAGAAAGGTGTTTTTTTGACCTCAGCGCTTTGTCGTGGACCATTTGTGATTTCTCGGTAAACTCTTTCTTTGCGCCCACGAAAAGTGTGTCAAGCGAGTATTTGAAGCAATTATTTGTCATATTTTCTATTTGCGTTTCGGTTTCGTTATTTCCGAAATGAGATGCAGAGAAAACAAACAGCATTAGCGAAGGGGCCCTGACCAAAGAGTCGGTGACAAGGCGTCTTCGGACTCGTTTCCATCTGCGTATTCATCTCCATCGTCTGGCAACTCATCAAATCTCGCAGTGACTTTGGCCTGAGATTTTTACACGAACGAAAGTGAACGTTTCATTATGCCGACTCTGTTTGTTATTATTATTATTTTTTGCTACATTTACAGTCGCTGCTTTGCAGACATAAGTCTGCACTTGGGTGGAAAAAAACGGAAATTTGTCATGTAAATTTTATATGCCAACGGTTTTATGCTCAATGATTTCAGACCTTTAAGAGAAAATGTCACGGGAATTTGATTTCTTTTTACCGAGGTAAGTGTTGCTATAAGGTAATTCATTAAAGTAATTTTTAAATAAATAAAATGGATTGAAATTATAAAACATTTAAATATGATTTATGGATAAAATAAATTTGTTTTTTTTCAGCTGGCTCATTTAATTTGTCTTCATTTCTAATTTACAAAAATGATTCTGGTCTTAGCTTTTTGTAAAATGATTTAGCTTTTGTCTGAGAATAGCACTTGGCGTGTTCCTCGTGAAACTCCATCAAACTTGTGTAAAATTAAAAATGTTTTATATACCACTTAAAATTTGCACTTAACAGAAGTGGAAAAAAGTGTGCTCACCATTTTATTCATCAACTTTCGGCCAAAATCAGTTCATACTGCCAACAGCTGCCAACGGAGAGCGACGCCAGCAAAAAAGCCTTGTTTCTTACTTGGCTGCTGCCAAAGCAGCTGCCAAAAGCGATTTGCCGTCAAAAGCGCAGAAAGACACACACACACACACACGCTGCGCGGCGACGACTTTGGCAGGCTCACAGACACTGGAATATTTTTCAACTTATTGTTGTACTTAACAATATTTAACGCTTTTCTTTTGAACACTTTTGATTGCTTTGCGCGCGTTTGGTTTTTCGGAATTCGGAATTTTCACAGGGTTTCAAATTGGTTGAAAACGCCCGGCAACTTTCACTGCAATTAGACGATGGCCGTTAGATTCCCCCGCCTAGGCAAATAAGGCAATGATCTCCGATCCAAGATTATTATTGAGTGACGGAGCTCAGCACTTAGTACACTTGGTCCACGGGAAGCCAACACTTGGTAGAAGAAGCCAACTTGGCAGAGAACCGCACCGCACGCGCGCTGAAAACGAACTGAATGTGCGGAGCTTGGGCCGCCGATCGCGAGCCCCACTGGTTACCTGTATTGCCAAGAGTTGCTTGGCCAAAACCGAGAGAGTGTCTATGTGTGTGTGAGTTGGGATTTGTGTAAGAGTGTGAGTGTGAGTGTGGCTGGCTGTTAGGCAACTTTGCTGCCCACACTTTACTTTGCTCGGCAAAAGTCGCCGCTCTGCTGGTCCATTTTTGGCTTGGACCGCTCAGCAATAATTTTTTCTCTCTTTTATTTTGATATAACCAAGACGCCTTTGCAGAAAAAAAAAACAAAAACCTAAGAAAAAATGTATAGGCATAACCTATACGATTTGTGGCTTCCAAGTTGCCAGTTGTGCTTTGACTTTTGATTGACGTAATTTCTGCGCTTGATATTCACTTGAATTTCTTGTATTTCCACATTTAACTGTTTTGGTGTCGGGCGCACACTACACGCCCACCACACCCACACCTCCTCACACACACACACACACCACTACAGTGGGCGTTTCTTTTCTTTAAACATTTAAATTCACTCCGAACATTTTGTTTCATCAAGAGTTTTGTGAACTTTCGCTCGGCACGGAACTTAATGGAATATGTGGGTGTGCTGAACCGACCCTATATAGGCTATATAGTGCCTGACTCACTCGATCTCGATCTGCTTGGCTGGCTTGCTTATGCTAATTAACCAGCTTAAACTTTGGTATTTAAGCGTTTCCCCAAAACGAAAGACTTAGGCAACGAACTCGCCCCAAATTGCTGGAAAACCTTTGTGGGTCGCCATCGACCTTGCTGCCGCTTAACTGCATTGCAGCTCCGAAATGAGGTCCTTATCGAGCAGGAATCTTTATTGCAATGAAGTAATTTCCGCATGTAATGGGAAGAACGAAAAAAAGTTCTTCCATCTTACGGTAACCTTTTTTTTTTGTCGACATTACCTTTCGGGAACGCCTTGCTTGCACATTAATTTCTACGCCCCGCAATTATTTCATCCAGCAAATGAAGTATGAAGAAACATAAACGGAAAACGTGTGCCACATACTAAGATGGGCCAAAAGCAGCAACAAAACGGGCCACTAAAAAAAAACATCGAAAATTAACAAGCATAATTAAAAATGCACACGTTGCGAATGGCAAAAGCGAAAATCTCAACAAAAGGATGCTACATGAGGACCGCCAAGACTGAAACTTTTGCCTCAGGTTGCAAGTTGCGGGCGTGTTGAACTCGAAAATACACAAAGCCGAAGCTTAAAGTGCTCTAAAATCTTTATGGCTTTTAGTCAATTTTGGGTAAGAACTTTCTGACTTATTGCCTGAACATCGCTGAGACACATAAAAATTGTTATGGGAACATGAGCCAATCGTTTACGGTATGTGGAAAGATGAAAGGTCAAAAGATTGTTGAAAAACGTGAATTATTCAAGAGCTTGAAACCTTTAAAAGCAGATAAACACCAAGTATGTTGTCTGAGTGCTCTCAACAGTAATTTTAAGTTGGTTTCAGAAAAAAGGCGTTTCAGTTCACCCATGTTGGCGAGTAGAAATGTAAATTAAATTTGCATTGAAGTACACTTAACACAAACTAGACAGCTAATAGAAACACTGGTGGATCTGCCTTGAACGCTTAGTATGTAAATTATACCAATTTGAAGATGAGTAAAGTCCCTTGTCCGAACAGGCACTTTATGGCCGGTACTTAACCGGGGGAAAATTCCGACTGCAGCTCGAAAAAAAAAAAACGCCACAGCACACATTTTCCCATCTCACCAGCCTAAACAAACTTGGCGTTCAAGTTGGGTTACCCGTTCGCTCCGATCGCTCCGTTCGCCGTGCATTCCTGAATTGCTAAAACAAGCAATACCGCTGCAACAGCTGCAAGTTGTGTGTGCGGCAGCAACAAGTGCAGGCGGCGGCGGCTAATTTCATGCAGCAAAAGCAGCGAAAAACCCACACGCGTCGTATACACTTGGCATATTTAGCACATTTAATGGAAAACCAACAAAACATCAGTATTTATGATGGGGCAGGCGATCTAGGGCCGGCTCTCTCGAGGCGCCAGTCCCTGTCGGCCGCCGGTTGTGGCTTTATTAAGTTGCTGTTGTTGTCGCTTTTTATTAATAAGTCATATTTTTATATGGTTCAGCAGCAGCAGCAGCAGCAAAGGGGCCAGCAGCCAGCAGCCAGAAGCAGCGACTTGATAATTTATGTTGTTTGCTCCGCCGCGTAGCAATGGGCAGGATGACAAAAGTTGTTGCCGCTGATGGGGCAGCTGGACCAAGGGCAACCAGAGCCCAGAGGGGCTTCTACATTGGAGCGTGGGCTTATTCATAAGTCACTCACTCGCCCATTCATTCCACCATTCCGCCATTCATTCATAAACTTTAGGAAAAAGCTCGAAAAGCCAAGCTCATTTTGTGATTAATTAAATGCAGCTTGGCTGGCTGTGTTGTGATTATTACTCGTATTATATGGTTGCTGTTGAAAAAGTGTGCCGCTGCAAGCGACATGCAACAGGTTGCTGTGATGCAAGTGTTTATGGCTATTTTCAGCTTTTTTATTGCTCTACGAAACACTATTCTTCGCTGTTTGTACTCTTTTTTTGGTTGGCGGTGGGCGAAAGTTCGTTGCCCAAGTCTTTCGTTGTGATGCACTTTGCACCTGACCAAAGCTGGGCCAGAAAGCAACTCAAACGTGGCTGATTGGCCGCGTGATAGCTCCCTAAAAACTGTGTCAAAGCATTAAATACTCTAGATTATTTGCTCATTTGAGCGAGGAAAAAATTCGCAAAAATATAATTGCGGGGGAAATAGCAAAAAACGATAACGATGGAAAAAATTCGCAAACGCTGTAAATAGTTCAAGCATTGCGTAATCGCCTAAACATCCCACTTCTGTTTCACTTTTCGTGATGAAAAAGTTGCATGGCGTCAACGAATTAAGTAAATAGCAATAGGAATTGCTGTTAATTTGTATTGTATTTTATTTGCACTTTTTGCCGGCACAGTTTTCACTCTGCGCCCACACAGCTGTTCAAATGCTGTCGAGTTGCACAAATATTTTTGGATGGGGAACTTTGAGGGGAATTTGCGGGGGGATCGCGCACCTTTTTCCACAAAACGAAACGCAACCGATCGGCGGATAAAACTATTGAGCGTAGTGCACACAACGCGGTGCGCCGGCAGACTGAATGTGAGAAAACCAAAATCGAACTCTCTTGACTGCATTTGCTGGCCAAGTTAGTTGGCAAACAGCTGACGGACTGGCTCTCTCTCTAACGAGCCAAACTAGTTTCGTTTGAACGCGGCGGAGTGGCATTTGAAAATCTGTTTGGCCGTATAACAGTTGGCCAACAAAACTGTGCTAACCGCTGAGAGAAACTGAGAAACACAGAGAAATACGGGGAAAAGAGAGAATCTCAGCGGGCAGGCAGAGTGTAATTTGTTATTGTTATTGTATTTGTCAAGTCAACTGATAAATTGACTTGATATTGAAAATAAATTAATTATATCTTCGAAAAATGGAACAACACGGAGTCGGCTTTCGTGGGATTAGGCAACCATTGAAGCCGGCACAAAATTCAAGCGGATCTGTACTTGTAGAAAAAAATATTAAAATTATAGTTTTTGAATAAACTTAGAAATGAGGTCACAGTGTGCGTCATGGCAGATTTTTAATAATAAAATATAGATATAAATATTGTCTACATATATAGATCCCATCTAACTTGTTTTTTATATTCTTGCTCAAATGACTCACACACAAATTCTGAGAGCAAGACAAATTGTTGCAAATTGAATACAAGTTGTCTAATTGATTTCAACAGTATTTCAACTTGACGTATGAGTATGTGCCTTTTGTTGGGCATTATCTAATGATCTTTATCCATTTGGACTGAGGTCAAAGAAGAGATCATCAGTGCACTGGCTTTATAAATCGAGTCCAGTTATCGTAGATGATATAAAAGAAGTAGGCCACTTGGGGCAATCCGCCAAAGGAAGATAATTAATGATGAACATCGCCGAACAGGTTAAACCGCATAAATCTTTCTTTTTTTTGGGATTATGTCTTCAAATGGTGAATTAAAGCTGCCACTTCCTAGGGCACCTAATGAATATTAATTTTAAACCAACATATTGGGGCTGAAAATTTTTATTGAATTTTTTTTAAATCCTAATCTGTTAAAAATCCGAAACGCCCTTCTACTTGCTTTTTATTTGAACCCATTTAGGTAGAGTTTACCCTACAATAATTTTAAAAGTTTATAGCATATTTGACTCCAAAATGCAAAATGTGCAGCGATTCGCTTCAGTCAATTTAAGTGAACGCTCACGTTTTGTATTTTTGCCAAGATGTTTTGAAAGATATAAAACTCCCTGTCTGTTTTTTTTCGTACTTCAGTTTTGGCCAGGCCCAAAGTCACGTTGCGCCCATAGACGCCACGTACGCAGTAACAGTCGCGAAGTCAGTCACAGTCACAGTTTAATGTTTACGATATTCGCTGGCTGGCTAATTTATGTTTTCGCAGTGTTAAAATTATTGTGGCAGCGGCTTTACTCCGCTTTTAGATGTAAATGGCTTACAAGTTATTGGCCAGGCCAAGGCGCCCATATATATGCCTCGATTTCCCCCTTTTTTGCTGGCAATATGATTTATGCTGCCCCTGCATTGCATAAGTTTCGAGTGATGACGTTATGCGGAGCGCGTGCTGAGCCGGCCGACCCAAAAAGCAAAAAGCCACTACGGTAGTTTGACGCCAACGCGGCCGAGGCGACATTTGGCTTAAATAGAATGCAAAATACAAAATACAAAAGCTGAAACTGCAACAGAGAGCTTGAGACTTACAGAGAGTGGGATAATGTATACTCTATAACTCCACAACTAACAGTCCATAAATAAAACTAAAGACTAGTTCAATAAAATACACAGGTTAAAACACATATTTTACTATCGTTGGCAAGGGCAACGAAAATTGCCTGAAAAACGAGCCAATTTATTGTGTTCCTCCCTTTTTTCAGTCACCTTAAGTGTCTCTCACAGATTTGTAAAATATATGCCCTAGTTGATGGCACCACCTGCAGTTAGAGTGGACC